AACTTTCGGAAAATTACTGGAGTAAATGTGGGAGTCGCAGGAAGTGGATCGGAATTTTTTCACATCGATTTTTATTTTGACCTTTCATTTCGTAAAAACTTCTCCAATGAGTTGAAAAGATACAATCCTTTTGATACACTTAGGTGAATTTTATATGAAAGGAGGTAATAAATCTAGAAATATGTGAATCTAAAATTACGATAAGGACATATTGGTATATTTGATACAGTTGACAGTATATGATACGACAATTTGAAAATCTCTTACAAATACCTACTTTTTTCTAATCATTTTACCCGTTTTGATATTCAGTAAGGTATATAATACAAGCTTTGTATATAGAATATCCGTTCACAAAGGTACAAGAACAGATTTAAAGTATCTCCTGCCCTCTATCACAGAGTAGGCGAAATTATGTTTCCATTCAGTCAATGGTGGTATATTTTCTGCAACAATATCGTTGTTTGCTCATCACTGATGGCAAAGCAACTGGCCTATAGTTATTTGAAAGATTTTTCTTGCCCTTTTTGGGAATAATCTGAATGCGAACAATCTTCCAACAAGAAGAAAAACCCCCTTTTTTATAAGAGAGGTTGAAAAATCTACAAAATACTGGTGCGAGTTCATTTGGGCACTTTTCAAGTACGATGACGGGTACTTTATCAGGGTCAGACGCCTTATTGATATTGAGCTGTTTCAAAATTCGCTTGACTAAACGCTGTCGAAAAGTAATTTCCGGCATTGTGGATTTTTGTGTGGGAATAATGGGTGGTGCCTTTCCCAGAAAATCGACGGTGGAATGGGACGCAAATTGTTCAGCTAGTAGATTTGCTTTTTCTATGGCTGTTGTTGCAAATGAACCATCAGCTTGTGTTAGTGGTGGAATTGTGGATTTTGTAAAGTTCTTATCAACAGCTTCAGCTACCGACCACAAGGATCTAGACCCATTGGGATTGGCAAGCAGTTTATTACCTGATTGTGAAGTTCTTTGTTTTCATTCAGCCTAAGTTTGCAGCTGTTGCGAGCATTAACAAACCTAGTTTGATTTTCGGCACTGGGATTTTTGCGCCAATGCCAGTAGGCTCGCAATTTTTGTTGAACCAAGGCTTGCCATTAGAAGATCTTTTCATTGATTCATGGATTATAGAATAATTTCCGTGACTTCAGAAGCACAAGTTGATGGATCTTTAGAGCTGAAACAAACATCTAGCCAGGAGAAATTTCGGATTGATCTTGAAGATCCTCCCATTCAGCTGATCTGTAATGCCAAACTTTGCGCGGCTTAGATTGTTCTCCAACATTTATCGGTAATTCACTCAACACTGAGATGAGTTTGTAATCAGAAGATCCCAATGGAAACCTTACGGTGACTGTGTAAATTTCTGGATTGGTTTTTAGGTATAGATCTAGAAGACTAGCATATTCTCCATCACGGTCAGGAATCCTTGTTGGCTCATTTTTATAATCTGAGTAAGTCCGCTGCTTATTGCAAAAGCCTCAGCTTCACGACCTTGTTCGTCGTTGATATTTGAAAATTTAAGCCATTCGATATTGTTGACATTGAAGTCACCGAATATGGAAATTTCTGCCCTGGGATGATTGATTTGCAGAAAATCAATGGTGTTTGCGGAAGTGGAGAATAATGTCCTATATTGTGTATCGCTAGGTGGTCGATAAATGCAGCATATGAATTTGGTGATCTTCTGTGATATTATTTTGAACCAAATAACATCAAAGTTTCGGGGTTCCAGCAATTCCTCTCGTTGACAGGAGAGATCGCTTCTGATAAAAAGAAATGTTCCAAAGTTACGTCTGAATCGGGAGTGGAAATCATAGCCGGGATATATAAAAGTGACGGCGTCTGTTGAATCACTTACTTTGGTTTCTGTGAGTGCAATAATACGAGAACTATTTGATTGCAGATGTCGGTGCACTGATTTTATATTTGAGTTGAGTTCTCTGATGCTGCAGAAATCGATTTTGAAGTTGCTAGTGGGCCTCTTAGCAACTGCAGTTACCATGCTATTTCCCTGTGGACCGATGTTAAGAAGACCCTGCTGAATGTCATAAATGAAAAAGTGGTAGTCAGCCCCACCCGGAGATAAGGCAACGAATGAAGTGTTTCATATAGTTGTCCACACAAATAGTATGTGTTGTGAAAACAACTCGAGCACTTTGTGTGTTGCCTCATCGCCTGCAGACCTGCAGACCACGGCGAACAAAGTCGGAAGAGAACTTTGACAAAGTTATCTCCAGCCGTGAACGCTGGAGATAACTTTCTTTTTATAAGTGTAACTAGTCTCCTCACAGAATGACGTTTTGCGAATATAGTTGATTCCATCATCAGATGGATTCTAGCAAAATTATGACTTCAATGGTAATATTGAAAAAAAGGAAAAATTACATTATGTTTTGGGTCTCATAGAATATAATTTTTGGAATATTTTTCAACCAGCTTCTCCAAGAAAGGTACAAATAATCTACAGCTGTCCCAAAGTTTTTGATCTCAGATTGTATCAATGCACCGCCATAAATATGATCACAATATAATATTTTTGACTCAATAAGTGAGTGACATAGTTTCAATTTTAGTCCAGATGGCCATATCTCTACTTTGATACAATTGACGCAAGACACTGTAAGAGGATTCGAGTTTAATATTGAAAAGTATAGTGTATGTTAAGAGCAACTGCCCTATATATCGATAGTCCAATTATGCGTAATGGGGATGATTCATGGAAGCAGCTATTATCGGGAGATATTCATTATTGAGTAGACTAGAGTAGGATACGTTTGTTGTGGGGAAACATTATTTGGGGAATATATTAGTTGTTCAGAGTGAAGTGTTTTAATGTATTAGTGCTACCTAACATGTATTATTTCCTAGGGTTTGAGTAGGTGTTATATTTTTTATGGATTAGAAAAGCCAATAGCCAATATTTCACATAAATTCACAAATTCACAACTCTGCGCTATTAGTGGCGTTGGCTTTGACAAGAACTTCCTTTTAGTGAATATAATTTATATAATTCCTTAACCTTCGAATGACAATGACGTATATATGAGGTGGGTCAAGTAAAAGTTTGGACTTTCATATTAGGTTGTTTAAAAAATGTTGTCCTTTTTTTACGAGTCTATTTTAAACAGTAATATCTCGGTAAATACTTATTTAATTTAATCGAAATGAGCGCCATTTGAATCAGTTCACTTTTGCCAACGTAACATCAGTCGATTGATTCCATCAGCTTGAAAATTGCGTGCTCAGGATTCTATGGAATCGACGAAGACCGTTTTTGGCTGATCCTGATTGGTAAAAGTTATACCGATGAGAAAGTGCTTGAAAAGATGGTAATTGGCGAAAGGTCTGGGGGTATAGTGGTTGAGGCATAAGCAAATAACATACTTTGAAACGTGACAGTTTCTGTCGATCGTTCAAATCGTGGGGCACCCACTTATAGAGCTTTTTGACATTTTCAATATCAAAAACCACATGGGACCCCAGGTCCCCCAGATCCTCATATCCTCGTCCTGGAATACTCTAGGTTGACCACTTCGGGGCTCATATTCGGGGCTAAAATCTCCGGAATGAAATTTTGCAAACCATCTTCGAACAGTGCGTTCATTAAATGCCTGGTCAATTTTGCGGGCCGCTTGGCAGCTCTTTGGTTCAATCTGAATTCGTTAAGAAAAACTGGCCGAAAATCGCTTAACGACATCATATAGTTATTGGCTAAATAGAGGCAAAAAACTAAAAATTAGAAAAAAAGAAAAGCAATAATTTATATAGGGTATATCAGGACACAGTAAAGTAAATATTTATTAAAATATGAAGCTACGAAAACACATGACATTAAAACAGAAAAAAATTTTGAAACAGCATAATAAAATCATTATTGGCGTCAATCAGAATTACAAAATACCTATGATGGAATTGGCCGATACTTGGTGAAAATCCATAATGTAGGTATTCAAGTAACACTTCATTGTGAGATTTCACTGAACATTCACAAAACCGTAACATTTGTTTCATTATACAATCGCTTCATCAGACATGTTCGTTAAAACTGAACTGCCCGATAATTAACCGCTTGAAAAAACATTTTGAATAATTTTATCATAGTTTAGGAATGAAATAATTACAATTTCAAACATGTGAAAAGATATTTTACAAACTCATTTGAATGCATATATAATGAAAGGAAAATTACTTGAGTTTTCATATCAAGAAACTACTCATATGTTTTCTTTTATTCTTTGGAAGAAAGTTCTCTCCGTTTGATCAATATAAAGTTTCGGACAAAAACCATATGTCAACTTGTATATCCTTCAGGTGATTTTTCTTCTATTACATGTCCAATAAAATGAATTTGTTTATAAAATTGCAGAAGTTAAAATTTTTAATTAGTTTTCACCTAAACTCATGTCAAATTATTAGTCATTAGGTAGGTAGGATGCCACATTAATCAAAATGTTGATTGATATAAAGCACTATCGTTTAATGAAACACCTAATGTGGTTTTGTAAACTGTTCGTTGAAAATCTCACAATGAAATGTTACTTGAAAATGAAATAACTCATTTACTTTTCGTTCAAGTTGTGTCAGCAGTTATAGAGGGTTGGGGTTGTTTTCATACAAACTTACAAGTCTTCTTTAAAGAAAAAAATTTGCATTGACAAGTAACCAACTTCAATTGAATATGAAGGGTCAATTAGCATCAATGCATAAAAGGTGCATATTATTATCAAGAAACTGTCACCAACTCTCAAATCTACCAAACAGATTAATTTCACCTATTAGGGGCTGCAGGAGACTTGGACGTCTAAAAGACGAGGGTCTGATAATAATTTTCAAATTGTTGTTCAACAATTTTTCATATTCCATCTACTATGAATCCTTGAATATATTTAAACTATATTTCAACAACCTCATTATTTTCAAGTTCATTTGCCATAATTACCTGCAGTAACATATCTTAAAACGAAAAACAGCAAAACAGAAATATCACATATTTTTTTAATAACAATATATTTTTTATTAATAATAATATACACAACAAAACTCTTTATATTTACTAAGGAATGTAAAACAATATTATCTAAAAAATATTATTATTTGTATATCATTTTATCAATAACAAAAGCACCGTGAATAAAAGTTATGAAGTAACCATCCTTCCTCCCAAAAACCCATAAAATATATTATATTAACCTCATAAAAAATCATTTTCACTTTGATTTACTTGAAGCTTGTTGTTGACGCCTTTGATTTGCTATGTAGATAGTCCAAAAGAACCCCATTAAGTTTGTGGTGAGAACTCGCAACTGGAAGTGAAAAATTAAAATTAGTTTAAAGTTGGAGATATCCCGTGTCATTAGCAAAAATTCGGTTGTTTTGCAGTATTTCTCATGGTTTTGTAGTAAAAAATTACAGAACAAATATAAGTTATTTCTTCACAGATAATTCTTACAAAAACAACAATGTACAAATGATAATTCAATTAAAGAATATGAGAAAATGACAAAAGCCCATCAGGGACAAAAATTTACAATAAAAATTTGACAAAAGACACCCAGACTCATTTTATACTTCATAGACATGCTGGTTTCTTTTAAATAGACTGGTTTTGATTCATTATACTGAAATAAATCTTTCATAAAAGTGGAATTTATATTTCTTGATACATCTCACCAGTCTGTTTAATTTTGCGCCCTCTGTGCACATTTTGGCACCTCCTAGCTATGGCTCTACTCAAATAGAGGATGAAATATGTATACAAATAAACTAATTCCATCATTCAATGTACAACATTTATTATTGCCAGTTACATAAAGTTATTGGCATCGCTTTGGGCTTTGCCAAACAAACACTGAACACCTGAATGGCAAGAAGAGTTATGGACTTCTGGCAAAATCTTCCAGGATTTGCTCACTCCAAGCCATTTATTCACCCTTCGAAGCTTGATTCCAAACAGTAGTTGGACTACAGTAGGGATGAACTACGATGTCTAACAGTCTTCTTACAGGTCACTGTCATTTGAATAATCACATGCAGAGACTTGGACTGTCGGAAGACGTGTGTGTCACCTCTGTCTGGAAAGTGATGAAACTGCAGAGCATATACTTTGTGCCTGCCCCGCTGGAGACCGAATCAGGTTCTTTGAGTTCGGCAGATCCGTACTCTCACCATCTGACCTGAAAGACCACTCACTTTACAAACTAATCGGCTTCGTTAAGAAGCTGGGTTTATTTGGCCGAGTGTGAATAGGTGTGAGCCACAATAAACCCTTATGGGTTGCGGTGGAGGGTCGAATAGACCCACTCACTTTAGATCTACCTACCTACCTACATAAAGAAACTTTATGAAAACTGTTAGTAGGTACAGTTTGTATCACTTATATGTACTTCTTGTTGAATTGAAATTGAATTAATTTTTCTGAATATTGAAAAGAAAAGATTCAATTATCTGAGTTATTTTATATCAATTACCATGCTATATAAAACATTTAATGTGATTTGTTTACTAGTTATTATGAATGGTTACATTACAAAATCTTCAATTTCTAATATACAAATATTCCAAAATAAACATGTGAGTAAGGTGTGGATTGCTGCAAAATGCTTTGGAAATTGCATTTGAAATGGGCAGTTCCTAACTGCCATGATTCAGATAATTCACTTTCTTGGTATATATGGTATATGCATTTAATATCACAACAAATAACCACCTGATATACCTGGCCATCCATCATTCTCAGGTTTATGGTTGATGATAAATAATACACCTGGCATTAAATAACAATTAATGATTAGGAGAATACACATATTAGATGAACTGAAAAGTTCGTAGGCTAACACACAGATGGCGCTACTAGTATTACATCCATATGACTTTTAGTTAAAACTAACCTTCAGAAGACTCGTGTGCACATTTCACAGCGGTCAGACTATTAGTTTGTGGAATGATAGAACATTTTGAGAGGAGCAACTGTTGTTAATTTGAAGAAAACGGATAAAAAGGAATTTCGTGTGTTAATAAAGCATTGCTTTTTGGCGAAAAATACTGTTGAAGTCAAAGCTTGGCTTGATAAACATTATTCGGACTTTGCATCAGGAAAATCAACCGTTGAGAGGTGGTATACTAAGTTTAAACGACGTGAAATGAGCACCGAGGACGATGTAAATAGTGGACGCCCCAAAGAGGCTGTTACCGACGAAAACATCAAAAAAGTCCACAAAATGATTTTGGATGACTGCAAAGTGTAGATGATCGCGATAGCTGAGGCTCCAAAGATATCAAAGGAACGTGTTGGATATGCGAAATCTCTGTTCACAGTGGATGCCGCGCGAGCTCACAGTCAACCAAAAACAACAACGAATGGATGATTTTGAGCAGTGTTTGAAGCTGTTCCACCATGAAAAAAACCCAAATTTATGGGTCGATATGTGACAATGGATGAAACGTGGCTCCATCATTTCACACCAGAATAAAAACGAATTGTCACTTAAGTGGACTGCACGTGGTGAACCCACTCCAACTCGTGCACTCAACAGTCGGCTGGTAACGTTATTGTATCAGTTCAGTATTTTGGGATGCCCATATTATAATACTCTTCGACTATCTTGAAAAGGAAAAACCATCAACGGTGACTATTTATTATATAGCCTTATTGAAGTGTTTGAAGAACGAACTCGCGGAAAAGTAATTCGCACAAAAGCTAATTATTAGGGTGTGATGTTGACGAATCAAATGAATAGTCAAAAAAATGGGAAAAAACCCGAGAAAAAGTGTGATTACAGATTAACCAGAACGATGTATTTTCAGCTAGGTTGAGATTTTCAAATATAGCTTAATTATAAACAGAGCAATAGATCAAACTTGGAACGAAAAGGGCTTAAGACAGTAAACAAAATTAATTTTTATCGCGGTAATAATACTAAATAGTAACATACAATAGCCAAAATTTCGTAAAAATAAAATTGCTATTCAAAATATAATAAGAATAAGATTGACAGTATTTAGGATGATATACGAATTGTAACTATCAGTTGTCGTGAAGTAAGGATGAATATTACAAAAAGAATCGTATCAAAACTTATAATATTTAATAAATTAATCATGAAATATGAGGCAAGCGTGACCACCAAATTCAGGAAAGTATGACTTGTGTGGATGTGATGATGGCATGCCCCAGGTTTCCACACAAAAAGTCTGACACGAGTGTCTAAAAGTGATTATTGTAGTTAGCCTTCACTTAATTAGTATCATAATATGTATTTTTTATATCAATAATTCAATGTGTTAAAATTCTTGATCTTGAAATCAGCCATAATTTCTTCTTGAACAGAGATGAGTTCAGTTGTTTCAATCCAATTGGCAGATCATTATATATCTTTGGTCAAAGAAACATGCTAGATCTCTGGGATATAGTTTCAGTCACATGTGGAACCAAAATAGTACATTTTTTTGACCTAGTGAAGCAGAAATATTTTATTAAAGTTTTTTTTTTGAACAACAGCTAATGTCAAATGAAATATTTGTTTTAGATCTAAGATATTGCCAAACTTGTAAAGGTCATCTGATGAGTAGGTAATTGGTTTTCTGAATATTATTTTCAAAATCCATTTTTGAATTATTTCAACATTCTTTATATTATTATAGGCTCCTTCCCAAGCTATTATGCTTTCCATTTATAAGTTATATACTTGATAATGAGGTCAAACCCGAAACCGGTCTTATAAATAAAATCAACCAGTGGTAATTAGACAAAAATGTTTTAATTCATTTCATTAAAGTATTACCTACTTTGACACACTGCTTTCTCTCACTCAAATAACTTTTCATGAGAGTTAAAAACGTTTCACGAATACCTAAATCTTTTAGAGCTTTCAGGGGTTTATTATGACTGACAGTATCGAACGCCTTGGTAGTTTAATACTTTTATCGCATCCTGTGTTGACCCGGCCCCTCTAAATCCAAACTGTCTAGATGAGAAGAGAGTATATTTCTCAAGAAAATCTGTTAACCTTCCCTTCAAAATATATTCCAAAATTTTAATTATACCAGTGGTTAGAGAAATTGATCTGTCTATAACTGATGCATTTTAATTTTTCTCCTTTTTTAAAAATGGGTTTAGTAAAACTGTTGTCTTTAAAGATTTAAACCAATATCCTGTCGTCAGTATTTTATTGATGAGTAGTGTTAGAGACTCTTTAATATATTCTTCAATATTTCGAAGGACTTCTAACGATATATGATCTATTCCTGGTGCTTTATGTTTTTTAAAGATTTTTCAACTTCACCTTTATTTGCTTCTTTTAAATATATTGAATTTTGGTTAACTTTTCTGAGCTCTTTATAATTCCGAGGAGTTTCTATTTTGAGCGCTAGGTCCTCACCGATTTTAGTATGATGCTCTAAACAAAATTCCGCAATCACTATAAGGTTAGTTGTGGATTTGTTATCCCCATTTTCAATTTCTGTTACTTCCGTGTGTTTGATAGTTTAGAACAAGCAGCATTTACTGTTTTCCATAGTAGTTTTGCACTGTTTTTATTTTTAAAAATGGTGGTGTAGCAATTTACAAGAATGATGAAAGCAGGTTAGAAATTTCAATAATTGATTTAACCAATTTCTGCATTGAAGGGGTCTTTGAATGTTGTGGCATTGCGTTATCTGAAAACAAAACGGTTTTTGCATGTATTTATAGACCTCCATCGGGTAGCTTTAAATGTTTTCTAAATTGTTTATACGGGTTACTGACATTATTAGGTGACAAATATGAAAACATAATACTAGGCGGGGATTATAACATAAATTTTGGAGTTGAAAGCAGAGAACTCAATCTCTTCAGTGATCAGCTGGCATGTTTCAACATGATATATACTATCAAAGAACCAACCAGAGTAACGGCTAAATCAAGTACGTGTTTAGATAATTTCATTATCAGAGATGATTCTGATTACCAAATAAAAGTTGAAGACTTCAGGCTGTCTGATCATTATGCTCAAATCATTGAAATTCAAGTAGAAGATATAAAAAAAGCAAATAATAATGTTCAAAACGTCCGGCGATTTTTTTCAGAAGAAAACATTCGAAACTTCAAGGCTGTCCTACAGAAGGAGTCGTGGGATGACGTCTATAAAGAAATATGCCCAAACAAAGCTTATGAAAGTTTCAACAATATTCTTCAATATTATATTGAATTGATTTTCCCGGTGAAACGCTTCCGAAAGCAGACAAAAAAGCATAATTTTGACATTTTCACTCCGGAACTTCACGAACTNTTATTTTTTTTACATAATCTAAGCCAAACAAATAATTATATGTATATACCTATATGTATCATATTTTTAGATTATTGATTACTACAAACATTATACTCTGTAACGTGTCCTACCCTCAGACGTTTTCCTTGCCACTGTACGTATAACAATGTACTTTTTAACACGGAAATAATAAAAAATTATTATTATTATTATTATTATTATAACGTACTGATCAATAAGAGACAATAAAAAATGGGAGTTACCTTGAATAATAATATATTCAAAGGAACCTTAAGATATACAAAAATTTCCTTTCCTGGGTTTCAGCATCGTGTGGAATGTCGGCTTAGAGAAAATCTAGCTAACTTTCAGCCAATATAACCAATCATTACATTAGCCAAAACGATTGTGATCAGAGTTTTTGTCACAAAAAACAGCATATAACCAAGGATAATGTAGTAAATTACAAAAAGCTATGGTGTCCCTATTGGTAAAAACTTTGAGACATAAATAACCATGTGTTCCTCATTTTGACGTGATGAAAAATGTTGATATGTGTAAAAAATCCAGGAAAGCATGATGACTAATAACCCTTCTTTGAGCTTTTTTGTCATAGTGAATTCTTGCTATTCCCAATGATAGCAATATTTTCTCTATGAAATCATATAGAGTGAAGCTCAAGCCATGCAATGAAGATGAAATATTTCTCTCTGATCAGTAGAACATAAGTGATGTATACATATATATATATATATATATATACAAGGAGCATGACAAGCACATACATTTTCAACCCAGCACTTGAATTAACTAAATGTATAACTCCAATTTGATATATCAAATCAATTACTTACTAGACAGACATCAGCTACAGATCATTGGCAGAAGAAGGTTATGAAAGGATTTGTTTTTTGATGTTAGTTTCTCATATCTCAAAATATAACGATGCATTTCAATGAAAATGTAAGGCTAAAAAATTTCATAGGAATAAGTAGAATAAAAAATAGTTGTCAGGTTGCCTTGCAGATTTTTTAAAAATTATTTCACTGTAAACAGATAATTTTTGCCCTTCCACTGAACTCATGAGATTTCAAAAAAATATGTCTCACAAATATTGACAACTGTGACATATAATTGAAAGTTAAGATAAGTATCTGTATAATTTCTTAGCTCTTTTTTGATAGGAAAATTATTAAATATGACAGGTTACTGATAGACAAATTATTTTTTGGTTTTTGGTGAAAAATACTTTGAATTCACTCAGTAAATAATTGGGATGAACTGAAAAGTTTGCCTTTTGTTACAATAAACTACTCCTTCCTATATTGAGAAATTTAATCATACTGATTTTGATTAGAGACAATGTTTTCAGTGCAGCATTCAAAAATTCTAGTTAAAAACAAATTATGTATTGGGAAATTTCAGGCTTTCTACTCCTCCATCTTTATACAAAAAAATGTGGAAAAAAATTATATGAAACAATTTATTCTTTTCTATAATTCAATTTTCCTGTGGAAGTAGTTTTTTCGTGAGGTTTTTTCTTAGTTTGTATCTGAAAGAAACTTCTTTGCATGATCTATAATATTTGTGAAGAGTTTATTTTAAACTTTTTAGCTCTCTTCTTTTATTTGGAAGTATATTACATTTTTTTGTATAAAGATGGAGAAGTAGAAAGCGATAGAGCTGTTCTCCAAAAAATAATCTTCTCTAAAAAATATTCTTTCAATTCAAAAAAGTTCCTATGGCTGAGATTGCATCAAATAACCTTGACATAATGTCAGCGTAACATGAGCAGATTTGTCTCTTACGATGACATAGAGTCATATTTGTGTGCGAGAAATGTGTGTTTTCATCTTCAAAAGTTTAAATAGGTGCTGACGAGGTGTCGAAGACAAATATTTTCAACCTGAAGCAAAACTTTATATCAATACCCTTTTATATATTACGTAGTGTGGCGTTCCTGTGAATGCCACTGGTTTGAAGTATAAGCAGAATGGAAAAGTGACTTTCAAGTAATTCAATGTTCATGTGAAAGTAGTTGTTTTCTTCAAGTTTGTATTTAAAAGAAACTTCTGTGCATGATCTGTACAAATTCGTAAAAATTTTATTTAGAACTAATTGCTTTCTTTCTTCATTTGTAAGTTTCCCATATTTTCTTTTGTATGAAAGTGAGGAAATAGAAAGCCAAAAATCATTCTTTAAAAAAAATATTCCCCTTTCAATTTCAATTGTGTATTCATTTTTGCAGTTTGAAAATAAATCTTTCAGTCTCAACAATTTAAAATCAAGATATGCTGAATTTTGCTTCGAAACCTTTCACTTTATTTGAAAGCCCCAAAAATAGATAAATAACATCTTTCACTTTCTGCAATTGATATATTTTGAAATGTCATTATATTTCTATAAAAGAATAAAAGTTTTGTGTAAAAAAAAATTTTCCTTACCATGGGAGGCACTACGCTGAGATTGAGCAAATGAATAATAGTTAAATACTTCCAGCTACTAGAGAGTACCACCCAATAAAGATCTTGTAACTGTTTAACAGCAGTCTTGTGATCTTTTCCTTCAAGCCTTGCTAGTACATATAGTGTGAATGCTTGATAAAGAGGTGAATATACGAGCCTTTCAAGGAATAATTTTTTTGCCAATGCAAAGGCTGCATCTTCTGGTACTGCATATTCTAAGAAACTGTAGAAGTAATGAGGTATGGTGCCACCAAGAAACAATCTAAAAACAATTATTGCAATGTAAAGGTATAGAATCAACTTTTCTATTGGCTGACCTACCCATAGATGCCATAAGCAATAAGACTTTGATAGTTCAGTATTTTAGCACCAGCCAACCTCTGGGAAGCATAATTACCAGCCGTCGCCAAAGCACAGCTAAAAGATATTTGTAAAGGAATACATTTTTTTGTATTTTTTACTTACCAAGTTATGGCTTTAGTTCTTATTGGATGTTCGTAAAGATGTCCAAAATAAAAGCTCAGAGCATTAACTAAAGGTTTTGAGAGGACCATTTTTATGGTGGTTAATGCGGGAATGTGAGTTGTAAGTTTTATCCGAAAAAATGAATTTTGACCCCAGTAAAAGAGGTTAAAGGTTAAAACTTAGATAAATAAATAAAAAAACATAAATGACAAACAGTGATACCAATTGCCAATATGAAAAAAGTGGGATTGAAAGATATGCAGCCTCAATGATTCTGCATCATTTCAATTCCAGAGACTTGGGTGTACATGTTTTCAAACTAATTGAATTTATATATTTACATCATATTTCATATCCATTGAATTTTTAATAGACAGAATAACCAAGGCATGTAGCCTGTTTTGTACACAAGTTTCTTAAAGTCAGTTTCGAAAATGATCTTTCAATACTAGTTGTAGTCACAGGGATTGCAACAAATAACATTATGATAGTAAATACTTCAGAAAAACTGCATGACACAAAATGATTTTCTATTAATAATAAATCAGCACGTTCTTTGATAAATGTTGACTTTTTGATCTCATCTCTGTAGATGGACTAAAAACTAATAATTTTCCTGGCAAATCATTCAGATGTCTTTTTTATATTTGTTGTCAAACTCTAGGGCTTCATTCAATAGAACAGTATCTTTTGAATTCAGCAAAGTAGCACGTTGCAAAAGAGTGAAATTGGAAAGCATTCATTCATTGGAAGGAAACGCGCTTTCAGTTAATTAATATTGATGTCAATACTCGATAAAATATGTTCACTTCAAACAAACTTTCCGGATCTAGAAGACGCTTATATTTGCAAAGTTATTCAAAATGGCGTTTCACCTTCCTCTGATGCGTTTTAGAAAACTTAATGTTAATACCTTTCCTATTCTTTCAAAAAAATGTTTAAACGTTTTAAGGCATATTTGAAAGATCGGTGGCTTTCGACTGAAATGCTTTAGAGACTGATGAATTGAATGTTTGTAGAATTTTGCAGTGAGAAACGAATAACATTTGTTTTTCTCAATTTTCTTCTTACGTTGAATAACTTCATTCCTTTCATCTGATTTACAATCCGACAGAATCATTTCCTTAGCGCTTTTTGGACTTCAACAAACCGAATTTTTAAAGCAAAAATAGCATCATAATGTTCTGCTCGCTTTGTGTGGTTCAATGTTTTTATTGTTATCAGAGTTGAAGACTCTTCCTTCATCAGATATAAAACATTATGAGATGTTTCATCTTTTGATGCTATGCCAAAAAAAATTGTTGATTAATTTCAAAAAAAAATGTTGCATATCAATAACCTCTCTTACTGCATCACTGAGTATAGTGAACATATACCGCATAAGTGCCTTTCATTGTGTTAAGACCATCATATCTTTATCCTCGACACCTATTTAAAGGTATATTTATGTATGTATGTATGTATGTATGTATGTATGTATGTATATGTATGTATGTATGTATTTAATAATTTTGTTAAACATTGCTGAGGTTGTTTGGTCTTCAATTTCAGATATCTCAAAATGACGAGCGACTTCTGGATTCCGTTTTCGTCTTTCTCAGTCATATAATAATGGTAAAGTTCGCACATTTGATCTGTTTTTGAAATATCTTGAGTCGTATCGAATATGATAGAATAAAATGTTGCAGCGTTTATATAACAATCGTGGGTCAAATCATTGGTCCTTCGAGCAGGATATTTTTAAAATTAATTAAAAATATTCATGATAATTTTCAAGTTTTTACTTGATACTGTAAGTGAACAGTAAACATCGTACTATCGACATCAGTGCAATCTTGTACAACCCGAAGCAGCAGCGTACCAGTTCCAGGATTTCAAGTTCTGAAAATCTATTGCGTACACCAGCCCAAGCAGCGGTTTATTATTCTATCCAATGAATTCACGGCCAGCAGCATCGATATCTTGTCAAAATCGTCAGTGGTCACGGTAAGTCATTTGGACTATCCTATCTTATCCTACTCATATATTCTTTCATTATTCAATATATCATTTCGATTATCATTTTCACTCAATCAATTCATTTTTTTATTAGAATAAACTCTATCAGATCAAACTTGAACGATCAAAACACATCCATATAAATAATTTTATAAACATTTTTTATTTCTTGTTCAGTAACTGATTAAGCATTGCTGTCGAGCAAATTAAAGCAATAAAAACTAAACGTGGAGTTGCCCAGCGATCTCTTACAAATTATGAAAAATTCATTACGTTTCAAACCTTGTAAGAGTACAGTTGGAATAAATCTTATCTTGTCTACATTACATATAGCCAATTATTTTTCTTGTCCTATGTTTTCACAGGAGTTATTGTAATTCTTGTGTGCATTGAGCATTCATATTTACGATAAAATAATCGTGGATCAAAACGTTGGTCCTTCGAGCCGGATATTTCATTTTTGTGTGCATTGTCTACTTTTGAAACCAGAACAGAAATTAACTCAATTTGTATTTTTGGACTCAAGTATTCTATCTAACTCTTTGGATTACTCAACAATTCTCGTAAAATCGGATCGATTTTTGCTAATAACTCAACAATAAAAAACTTTCCTCATTGCTATCTGTCTTTTCTCTGTGGTCACGAAATGCTAAATTTCATGTTGAAAGCGTAAGAGTAACATTGAGGAGTCTAGAGAGTACCTAGCACCAAAAAGATTTTTCTTTCTTGATCATGGACACTTGACCTCCATTTAATGTTCCATGTAACATTGTAACCGCCATTGTTGATACGTAAGACAAGAATCCATAATCCATATGAATTTTAGATGTCTCATGTCTTTCTGTGGCGTCTACGATATGTTTCCAGTCGTCATAGCCTTCCATCCAAACATTTTGTATTTTTTTAAATGTCCGATTTGAGAATAACCACAATATGCCTTCTGAGGTATTGAGGAATATTGTAACCATATACGTTCAATTTTCACACCAGGCTTGGAAACAATATAGTAATGTTTTTTAGAAAAGATCTATTATCACGTATTTTAAGAAAGGACCCTTTGGTTCACAATGTCTATTATCGATCACGAACCGTTTCATTAGAATTTGATCTTGATTTGATCTTAATTTCGAATAACTTTTCCAAAACCCTAGCACCACTCTTGTGGTTATCTTATGAACATTCAGAAAAACTACTACAGCCATAATGAACGATTAATAATAATACAAGCGACTTCAGTCATGACTTTTGTGAAAAATTTGAACTAAGAAAAGTGACAATCAATTTGTTTACCAGTCACCGCCGAGAGTACTTTTGACGGGTTTAAAAATTCGGCATTTATAATTTTGTATCATGAAGAAATTGAAATTCTTTTTTAAAGTCCAAGTACCTTCCGTAGCTTCATTTGGGATAATGCACTTATTGAAATTAAAAGATTCCAAAACGAAGACATGCATGTTTTCTATTGAGTAGAGCCAATAAAGAAGACAGAGAGAGAATTTTGAAAATATCATCTGGCAACACTACACCTTAACCTAAAATCTGAACAAGTATTCAAGTCAAAACAAAACACAAACATTTGAATTTTAAACATTTTTCTGTCGATTTTTTGAAATGAAAATAACAAATTGTTACACTTCATGCAATTCCAACCAGACGCCAACTATCGCACATTGGGGAAGAAATAACCTAATTTGTTATGGAGCCTGCAATTCTGTAATAATATATGACCCTGATGTAAGTAGTGTATATAATATTTTTGAAAATAGAATTATACAATAAACCCTTTCAGTATGGAAGTGGAGGTAAAATAATTGATACTCTAGTGGGGCACTCTAAACGTGTGAATTCAGTAAAATGGCTTGGTGGCAGAAATGTTTCCTTCGAAACAGAATTATTGTCTGCATCAGCAGATAGTATTGTTTGTGTTTGGTCTTCCAATGGAAAAGTGTACTCAAAAGTATCATTAGTGGGACATAGCTCCAATGTAAATATAGTTGATGGTTTGTACAAAGAAAATAATTCTACTGTTGTTGTTAGTATTTCAATGGATTGCTGCATCAAAATCTGGTGGAGGAGGAATGCTACAGGTGAACTCTGATTCAAAGATATAGGTTTCTTGGATTTCACAAGTTTCATTTCAGATAAATTTATCTGCAGCCAAACTGTTAATTTGGGTTACAATATAAGTGTTGGAATTAAACTGTCATTCTTACCCGATACTGATGAAATTCTGCTTGCTTGTGCTTTGGACAACTCTAAAATTCAACTGTATGTGGAGACATCAGATGCAGATTTCAAAATGGAATCTTCTTGTCAACTGGCTGGGCATGAGGATTGGGTGCGAGGCCTTGACTTCACAGTAGATGGTAAAAATTTCATCAACACAAATAAAAGTTTCCACTCTGGATTCATATTCCAGCCTTTCGGTTAAACTTTAGTACACATAATTTTTCAGATTGCACTAGTTTTTGAAAAAATAATTAATAAGACTTATGTATTTTTGTCCGTTGCTCACGAATCTGAAGTTAAAACCTGGTGCTCCAGTCTACTTCCGGAGATAAGGCCACTTACTTTTGGCAGTGAGAACTTGTGAAATGACACTTTTCTGATAATCGCTTATTCACCCTTTACAAATGTTTTTACATAAGGAATTTTTTCTCCAAAATAATACTCTATATAAATGATCTCTTTTTCTTCATGTCACCTCATAATTGTTTTGCTTTCGCCGATGATACTACTTTTACGACATCCGGAAAAAAATAATTTTGTGTGCAATATAAATCAAATTCAAAAGAATGCTGACATATGGTTCAAAAGAAATAATATAATGTTAAATGAAAATAAAACTCAACACATCATTTTTACATCAAACATCTCTTGGGTTGAAGGACACAGTGTTAAACTCTTAGGCATACATCTAGATGATAATTTGAACAACTTAGCATTAAACTGTTGAAATATACATTTCTTCTTCGGAAATTGAAAGATATAATCTCTCAACAGGCGCTATTGTCAGCTTATTATGCTTTTTTCCATTCTCATATTTGATATGGAACAATTCTCTGGGGAAATAGTACTAACGCAAATAGGATATTTATGTTGCAAAAAAGAGCGTGAGGATATTATCTGGGGCTGGTTTCTTAGACTCCTGTAGACCTCATTTCCTTTCGATGAAAATAATGACAGTACCTTCTATTTATCTGTGTCAACTTTTGATAGATATTCATAAAAATGAATTAACATTAAACAGAAATTGTGAAGGGCCAATAGATTCAGACTGAAAAAGTCAAGTAGAAACTCTATTGATGTCACCTCTCTATGTCAATAAGGTAAATCAATACTTGTTCAAAAAGTATCTGAAATATCTATTGATTTCAAAATATGTTTATTCTACTGACGAGTATATAGCTGTCTTATCCAGAGAAACACAAATAAATGGCAAAACAGTATAATATTCGTTCTTGGGTAGTAATGAATCTGTGTATATGTGACTTATCTTATTTGTATACATCTAAAAGATCAATAAATTATCTTATTTTATCTTATCTATGTTGCCAAATTTTGTAAATTTTACTTGGCTTCGACCTGGAAAAACAAATGTGTTTGTTAATTTTCACAAATGAACGCAACATGTCAATTCAACCTGCTTTTAAATGCACAAACTCCAATTATGGAAGGTAGTTTCAGAATGAATAGAAAGGTGGCATTTCTTACCTTTTCGACAGGCATATTCATTCAACATAGCATTCATTTCTAGTTTAATTTTGTAAGACTCTCAATAGAACCAAATAAAGTATGCAGTTTGCTAGAAATCTTACAATTTTGAAGAAATTGTATGTTTTGTTTGAAAAAAAAATGGAAGTGGCAAGTGAATGAAGGTCTACTGCAGGGGATTATGAAAAAAAGTGTTATTTTATAAGCTTCCATTAGTACCGCAAGTTTCTCAAATAGTCTCATTTTTTGAGTGGCTGCATCTCTGAAAGCTCCAAGTTTTGATTTCAGATTTGTGATCATCTCACAAAAATACTAAGTCTAATTAAAATGTTTCCAAAACTAATGCAAACCAGAAAAAAATGAATATTTACCTAAACATCATATCTATAGAAGCTGAGGTTGTGGCACTGGTTGGGTCAAGTCTGCTTCATCTTATATTGTTTCTCCCTAATTCAAAATGGATACTATATATGGTAGATATTGAAAAGAAGCAATACATATTTTTGGAATCAATAATTACCATTAGAAATGTTGATTCACAAGAAAGAGTACTTGGTATTCCCACTTCAAAATCAAGTGTTATTTTTCGAATCCTTTTTTGAAATTAGTAAATTATTTTTATTTGATAAGTGCTTATGTGTTATTCAATTTTTACATCATAATCTTAGACTGTTAACAGAATCTTATTTTTTTATCTGATAGGTGCAGATCTACTACTTGCTTCAAGTTCACAAGATAATTTCATACGTCTGTGGCGTATATCCTCACAACTTGTATCCAAAGTTCATTTTGAAACTACTGAAAAAGCTCAGATCAAATCTAGGTCAAAGATATTCAATGTTCACCTAGAATCAATTTTGACTGGACACGAAGGATGGGTTTATTCTGTGAATTGGAATCCTAAAAGTTTGCAACTCTTATCATCATCTATAGATAAATCAATGATTATTTGGGAACTCGATACCGGTTCGGATGTGTGGCAGGAAAAATTGAGGGTAGGAGAAGTTGGAGGTAAGTTAATTATATGTAGTAGCTAGTAAATGAGAGTTTAACACAGGTTTCTGGAGTGTTTTCTGTTTAAAATCTATTTTTCTGTTGACCAGCTGTTGCCCCACTACGAACAACAACTCTCAAAAGTTGAAACTTATGTGAGCTGAGAACTAACGAGATCTTACCTACCAAAGTGTGATTTCTAACATAGGTTGGACGATAGGAAGTGAAAATCAATGGCCCGGCCTTGCAGTGTGAGTAGAGTAAATCACCCACCTCAACCGACCGGCTACCGTCCAACTATACTATACATAAGGCAAATTCATTTTTGTTCATAGCAATTATGTCTCTCATAAACTCGTTTTGATTCATCTATAACCAAATTCCTGATTTTAAGACTGAATTGATATCTTCGATTTATAATTATTTCCAAAAGGTGTTTTTCTTTCTTTTCTCTTGACAGATCTTCATCTTTGAAAGATAAGAGTAAAGTCTGATATCCAAATGAAATAACACTAAATGGTAAGATTATTGTCAACCACCTTCAAACAAATATTGAGACAGACATGAAACTGAAAGTGACCTTATGTGCTTTTATTGAAACTTGAATGTAGTAACGTTGATATGAAAATAATTCAATTATACTCCTCAAAGTAAATTCAATAAGATTCTGTTCGAATTCTTACTATCAGCATTACTTTGCTTTAATTCTTATGTCAGTGCTAAGAAATACTTATAAATTCATTTTCTCAATTTGAATGATTAATTTCTACTCAGTTTTGAGATTGTGAGATGATGAACTTCTTTCTTCTCTTTGCTTCTGACATTTCTATTCTCAGTTTAATTCAGTTAATATGTTGGTGAAATAATTTTTTTTTTCTTCATCAATAAAAACAACTTGCTATTATTATACCTATTATATTGTGTCTTCTTTCACAAAATAATTAATTTCTTTTATACTTGTAATATTTCAATACAATACAAAAATAAAACTGTGACTATGTTCACACGACCATATAATATCCTTTGTTATAACAATTGCTGTTCTAACATCCACTCTCTGGGAAGTATTCACATGGATCAAGTGTAACTACACATCTACATTTATAAAACTTGTCCCTGACTACCATCGTTGCCAACATAATGAACACATTGAATGGACTGTTCATGAATTTCAAATATGCTCTGCCAGAAATATGAGTTTTTTTTTTTATAAAATGGAAAACTTTGAGGAAATACCTTTTGTAATGGCAGGTGTCATACCACTGATGATGTCTGCCTCAGTAGCAAATGAATTGTTTGGTATTTCAAATTCCATTTGACCACAGCCTATCAGCTCAGATATTGCTCTCATTAATTAGAGGCTGTATTATTTTGATTTTTGTATTAGTGTTGCTATATTCTGGAAAGAAATGAAAATGCAGTTGTCCCAAACATTCTTATTTTACTTTTTCTTAAAGGAAACAAAAAATGTCTTCATCCATAGTAAACTTATGTTTTAATGTTCTGAAACTTGTGATGCACTGTTTGGAACCTTTGGTGTAGTAATGAATAGTACTGGATGATCACTTGGTGATCGAAATACGTGTCGAGGTGTTAAAAATAACGATTTAATGTTGGGAAGAAACTCCAGTAATATTCGTTCTGAAACTTGTTTGCATATATTTGCCAGTTTTTGAGTAGCCATTTCTTACATAGTTTCTTCTAATTTAATCTATTACTTGACTTTTTCATAGCAGGCATCGAGGTCTTATCTTTATGCCTTTTGTCCCATTTGAATAGTTATCATTTCAAAAATGTTTCACATTCTGACATGTCAGGAATTTTCATGTCACTAAATTATCAAACCACCTGAAGTATGTCGGTTGGTAGCCGGACGGTCAACGTGGGTGCTTTGCAGTCAATCAGCCGATGTGTAAGTCGATGGTTCAAGCCGCAGGATGAACGCTGGATTTTCACTTGCTATCGCCCAACCCGTGTTAGGAATCACACGCTAAAAGATAAGACCTCGTTAGTCCTTAGCTCGTCAAGTTTCGACTTCTGAGGGTTGTCGTTCGTAGGGGTGCGATAGCTGGTTAACGGAAAAAACATTTTAAACATATTTTTTAAATCGTCTCTACAAAGGGTTTAAAATTATTAAACTAGTTTGATAACTTTTTATGATGAAATTAACTTTGGTTTAAATAACATCAGTTGTTAGAAATCTTTTTGTAATGTGCTGTGCAAACGTGGTAAATAATGCATTATTTCAGTTTTAATTAACAAATCAACGATTCATAAACGTTACTTTGTCAACCTATTTAATATTTTTAGATGAAATTTTATATGATTCAGAGATATATTGGACTTCCTACAGACTTTTCGACAATGACAACTGTCCTAGGGTCTAAAGATTTCCAATCCTTTTTTTCTCTATAGAATATGGAATCGAGAATATAGCAATAAATTGTAGTTGTAATTCTGAAAGTGAATTCATCATTCACAAGTATATGGTTAACTTACAGAATACAGAAAACTGAAAATCATGCAACAATGGCAAAATGATTGAAATATGAAGACAATAATTATATATCTAAGTACATTTCCATACTGATACATTCGAATATATTGAATTGAATATATGATAAGATTCCAATACAACTAATCAGATTGATAATATTTAATTATCGAGAAAACATTTTTCAGCCATTTACCTCAATCTTATTGATTGGGGAAGCGCATCTGAAACTTGACTTTCCCATAATTAATTATGATATGTCATATTTTATCAGATTCATTCTTATTTCAGGTAACACTCTTGGATTTTATGGAGGCGTATTTTCACCTAAAGGTGATAAAATCCTAGCACACAGTTATCGAGGAGCTTTTCACATTTGGAGGGACAGCAATCAATCAGAAGGATGGATTCCTTGTGTAACAGTGGGTGGACATTTTTCAGAAGTGGTAGATTGTGCTTGGGAACCAAAGGGAGAATTTTTGATTTCTGTTGGTTCTGATCAAACTACAAGAATACATGGACCATGGAGAAAAGGAGATGAAGAGGTGAGTTTTGAAACTATTCTGGGAAAATAATAAAACTGATATTTTGAAAATAATGAAATAAGTGATGAATTGAGTGAGAATTTTGTTCTGATGCATTTGTTATTTTTTCAATATTGTTAAAGCCTCAAAACGAACTATGGTTAACAATTCTGAAAACTGACAAGTATAGACAAGTGGAGTATATATCTGTGATTAGTTGGTCAATAAAATTTATGTGACAGGCTAAAATTGAACACTCAATATTGAGGAAAGACACATAAATATCACAAAGTTTGGATATTTCCCAGTTATAGTTATGAATGCTTTGTCTTTGGGGTCTGGTTTCACATAGTTTCCTTATAGTGAAAGACAGGGAACGAATCTCGTGCATTGAGTCTTATGTAGGTCCCATAAATGGCGACTTTGTAGCGGAACATGTCATCACCTTTTCTTACTATCATTATAATTAAGATAGGTGATTGACTTATTTTATGAAAATAAATAACATTCCCCTATACCATTATTATAGTGTAGGGTTAGAAAAATTCAATAATGAGATTTCAAATAAAAATTCTTCATTATTTTGTTGGGATGAAATATTGGTGATTTTACAACTTGAATTAGGCATTAAATATGGAAGGACTATTCTTGTTTAAATTGAATACAATTTAATTGATTTTTTCACTCTGATCACATATATAGAGCAGGTTACTTTTATCCAATATTCCCATCTGTTCCTTAAATTCTTTTATTTGAATATTTTAGGTTACTTGGCATGAAATAGCTCGTCCTCAGATTCATGGTTATGATATGACCTCCGTTGCTGTTTTGTCAAGGTATAAATTTGCTTCCAGTGCAGAAGAAAAAATAATAAGAACATTTGATGCACCAACTAATTTTGCTGAAAATTTTCATAGGATTTGTGGGATTAATGAAGACGAAGAATTAGATTCCTTAATCAAATGTGAGTGAAAATATTACTTCATTTAACGTTATTTCTAATTTTTTCCTTTCTAGCTGAGTGTATGAGACCAAAAGGAGCTTCAGTACCATCACTGGGTCTATCGAATAAAGCTGTGCATACTGAGGACAACATAGAATTGACTATTCCCTTGGATAAGAAAAATCCTTATCCAGAAGAATCCCATTTCACAGCTACAGATTTGATAGGTAAGTTTATATAATTTTCAAATGAAAATTATAACATTTTGATTTTGCCACATATGGTGTTCATAAATTTGTTTGTACTTGGTATTCTAGACAAGGTTTTTCAAAACGGCACAAAGACTGCTATAGATGACAAGGAATATCAATTAATGCAATTTTTAATGATTAATTTTATTTCCTTTTTTCCATTAGTTTCTGTGATATGCTTTTACAAATTCCATTATTTTCTATAAATATGTTGAACCGAAAAAAGTCAGAAAGTTGAAAAAGAAGTTTTGCAAAAAATATTTGAGAAAGAAATTGGGACTTTGAAGTAAATGTAGTTATCACATCAGGTACATTGTTATTCTATTGAAACAAATGATAGCCAACAGCGGAGGTTTTGTAAGTTTTAGGTTTTGCCAAAACTGACCATCGGCATTGCTTTGGGTATTTTACATTTTCTTCCTCTAATAACAGGGATTCCATGGGCATTTTGAGTTGGGAGTGTCTGCATGACAATGGTACTAGATGGAGCCTGTAATGTTGTCAGGAGTTCAGATTCCTTTCTCTGCATGGTCCGCTACCATGAGAGTAGACATTGATAACTGAGTTTAGTTTTTGACACTGTATGAGGTGACCACAAATCTGTCACTGAGTTGGAATACACTTCACTCCTGCGGCAACACAAGGATAAGCCGATGCATGGAGTCTTCTTCAACAACATTGATGATCTCGCCTTATCAAAGCACCTGACCGAATTTGTTCAAACTTTCTATTTCCCACCCTTAGGCTCAAAAAATTGCTGAGCCTTATGTAGTTCATCCAACATTAGAGCAAGACCATATTGGTCGTGAAGTATTCAGCTCCAAATGAGACAAATTGTCCGAAAGAGGAGACAAACCTGTTGATATATCGAGATTTTCTCTTTGAACCCCTTAGACTCGATCTAGACAACTCTGTTAAGCTAATTGTTCTGATTATTGGCGGAATTATGTCTCATCTACTTTCAAATCTCAAGATCATGCCGGCTTACACACTAAGGCAGAAATCTTGGCCAGACAAATGCATCAGGCTGTCAGACTGGACTCATTGTGTCGACAATGGGCACATAATTCTGATACTCAGAGATCACTAACCTCACGTTGTAGGGAGTGGTCATTGGTTGATGATGCAGGCACGCCCTTCTGAATGTGTCGAGGCTTTGGGAATAGGGCCAGACCAGTTCAAACTTTGGGAAAAAATTAAATAGTTGTAATGATGATGATCAAATCAATAATAATAATAATAAGCCGATGCATAGGGTGTTCTTTGAAGATATTTGCTTTCTTTAGGTCAAGCGTCAAGTCAGAATGGTGTCTTTAACATTTTGGTCTGACGTAATTGCATGGCAGGCTCTGCACCAGGTGCAGAGTCTGTTACGAGACGCCTGATACTCTAATGCACTTTTAGTCGGCAATTCCAGTATAAGCGATCTCAGCCTATATCCACTGACATAACGCGGTCCAAAAAATGCTTTACTACCACCTTCGGCACTCTCACGATATTGAAGAGACGCTGGTGTTTCCTCTATTCAGACCACTCTGTTGAAATGGTTGTTCTGATTATAGGAGTCCTAGTTGGAATAATGCTTCCATTACTCTCTAATTTCAAATCCCAGCCAGAAAAATACAGAAGGCTATCATTTTTGATTCGCCAAGTATGATAATTCTTGAACCCAATGATGGCTCACTGCATGCTGGTGGAGTGTGGTTATTAGTTAATGATGATGCCACGCAATACATGATATTGGAAATTGTTCTTAAATACTTTTCTTTACCATTTCCTCATTTTCTATGAATTATTGTATGAATGATTTTTTTTTAATCAATTTATCACATTCAATAATGAAATTCACAATTACCAGACCAGAGGAAGTTCAAACTTTCATGTAAATAGAGCTAATTACAAAAAAAAAACATGAATTCTTTATTGCACAAAGGATTGATTGAATATAATAATCTACCCATTCATATCAAGAATAGTGCAACACTGAGTTAATTCAAATGTAATCTTCTGGGATACATCAATAAAAAATATTTTAGTAATGGCAGATGATGTTCATTCATTTAATCGATTAATTATGTGATAGTTATTATTAAAATTGTTGTATATTAGGATTTCTATTTCAAATTTCAAATAAAGATTATTTTTACTATAAGTATTGCTCTTATGCAGAGTACATACAACCACCTCCATGTTGAAATGTTGAACATTTTTCTCATGAAGGATGACATCTCATTGTAGTCTTTAATCTTGCAAAGGTCTTGTTGACTTTTGTTGTGATGAACATTTCAATATCATCATTTTATTTTGGTTTAAAATAAACAGGTTGTTCTTTTCCGGTTCATAAGTACAGCTATTTATACTGGATTGCTTTTCTCTTCTTCTCTGCTTCTCTCTTCATCTGTAATATTTGAAAAGGTGCTGTGTAGTTGACTCGTTTACCAAATAGAATAGGAACATTGTGTGCTTTTTGGTTTATAATATAGTAGAGAGACACTGACGATTTTAGAGGTTTCTAATGTGATGTCGTAAATAAAAACATTTTTGCGCTTACATTGCAAACGCTGACTGAACCCTACGAGATATAAAAAATGTACTACAGTATTGTACACCTTAGAAAGGTCTGCAAAAAAGACTGCGATGGTATATGTCTATCTCTTAAGGATAATCCACAATCCGCCAGAAATAATGACTCATTTACGAAACCATTTTAAGCAATACAGTAATAATCCTTATCCAACTAAGTACCTTAAATACATCGTGCATTTAATATAGATTAATACGGCTCTTTACAGCATGTAAATCAAATGAATATTTTTGAAGATATTACAGATTCAAAATGCAGGGACATAACGGTTGCGGTGGTATCGGCTGGGGGGCCGGCGGCGAGTGCCTATAAATAGCGAGTCAAAGGCCGCGCTACTCCCTGCAGCACTTTATTATTAGAAGCAACTGCACCTGTTTATATGTTTATTTAGTAACTATCAGCCTTGCACCTATTTATTTGGAGTCGGGGCGGGTCGCTAGTAAAGGATAAGCCTAAGCAACAGATTGCCTTGTTGAGCCTCGTTTATCTTCAATATTTGTGTGAATCCCATAAATGGTGTCTTCATTAGTGAAGATGTCATCTCGTTTATTCAAATATCTATGTTTAATGTAAGACATTTTTGGAAAGGTTATATTAAATAATTTCAGTTTGTTAAAATTAATTTCCTAGAACCTCCCACTGAAGAAACACTCATGCAGAACACCCTATGGCCAGAGACCATGAAATTGTATGGCCATGGATATGAAGTCTTTTGTTTGGCTGCATCACCAGATGGAAAGTATTTGGCTTCAGCTTGTAAATCAACTCAACCACAACATGCTGCTATTTTATTATGGTGAGAATACCCTTATTTGAACCCATTCCTCTCTGAAAATTATTTCATTTGAGTTATTAGTTATTCATTTCAAGTCACTAATTTTAAAGGGTTAGAATATTCATCACACACATATTCCATTATTTTTATTGCCTCGATAAATTGTACTGAAGGTTATTGACATCATCAGCAGATTATAAATACACTGACCCATTACTTGATGAAAATTATTAACACTATCCATGATATTAATTGGAATTGGCCGAGGTGGCCTCACCGACTCACGATCGGAAGGCCGTGGGTTCGATTCCCGCCTCGACCAGATATTTTTCTCGAGAAAATTTATCTGGTTGAAGCTGGGATGATTCTGCAACCGTGTTAGGAACACGTTAAAAGGTAAGACCTCGTTAGTCCTCAGCTCGCACAATTTTCTAACCTCTGAGAGTTGTCGTTCGTATGGGGGCGACAACTGATTAACGGAAAAACATATTTTTTTTTTAATTTTTGCACTATAAATTTCATTTGAGCTGTGTCACAATTCACAGTAGTTTCATCAGTTGGACTGGTACGAGGCATTGTAGAATAATTTGATCTACCAGTCCAACCGATGAAAGTAAAGTATAGTGCAATGCAATGCGTATTGAATAAAATTTATAGTGCGAACATTGTATAAGTATTATCAGGGACAACATCCGGCATACTAATCCCTGGTAGCCAGGACCCTTATTTCATCACTATCAGATGGCTTTAACAAAATGAATAACGTGAACAATAAAAAAATCTACTTCTATGGGCTATACCCTGTCTCTTCAACAAATAAGGGGAATTTTCATTATTGTCATAAAATATTTATTAAATCATCAATTTCTATGTTGTCCCCTTCAAAGTAGTCTCCCTCAGATATAATACACTTGTGGCAGCGTTTTTTTCAATCCTCGAAGCAGTTCTGATTTTGCACCTTTCGGTATGTTCTTGAGCTCTCTCAGAGATTCCGTTTTCATCTCCTCAATTGTCGCAAAACGCCGTCCTTTTATGGGTCTCTTCAATTTTGGGAACAAGAAAAAGTCGCAGGGGGCCAAATCTAATGAATACGGTGGCTGAGGCATGAAAAGGTGTTTTTTTTTGTCAAAAAAATTACGAACTAGCAATGAAGAGTGAGCAGGTGCATTATCGTGATGTAAAAGACATGAATTGATTTAATACAATACCGCACGTTTTCTTCTTAATGCTTATCGCAAGCGACGTATAACTTCAAGATAATAGTCCTTATTGATTGTACGATCATGTGGCAAAAACTCCTGTCGCACTACACCATGATAATAAAAGAAAACAGTGAACAAAACCCTGACATTTAATCGAACTTGGTGTGCTTTTTTGGTCTTGGCTCTACTGGGCTATTCCATTGAGACATTGGATCAATTTTGGAAAGAACTTCGCTTCCACATGCTTCTTGACCAAAATTTACAAAAAAATTGCGTGGCATGAGCCAACAGATATGCCGATACCCTCAAGAAGTTCTTTAATAGTGATTTGATGATTCCCCGTAACCGTATTCTTCACTTTCTCTACATTTTCATCGGTTGTTGATATGCTGGGGTATCACATCTTCTCGACTTTCTGTGAAAAGATTACACCACTTGTAAAAAAATTTCACAGTATGCCTCTGTCAACATTCAAAGTGTTTCAGATCACCTAATTCCATTTTTTACACAAAATTTGATGCAAACTCTTTAATTCATTTTTTCGATAACAGAAAGTCTGAACAAGCAAAACACTTTTAACTTTCATACCTATCATCAACAAACTAAACATGCTAACAGTTGATACTGTGAATATATGTTCGAGACGAGCGTACATAAAAAAAATAAAAAATCGCCCACGAAATTTGAACATTCATCTTATTTTACAGTTTGAAGCAGACTAATAAAAACTGATAAAACTTTTGAAACAACCTGATGATATGGCATAATATAAACTACTGCAGAGAAAGTCTAATTGACCAGTAACTTTCATACATGAGTTTTGTGTATAAAATACCCAAATACGCAACTTACTTGGGACTGTGGTTCAGAAATCCGTTTAGATATATTGTATGTGCTATTGAACCGTGTACCAACGAAAGATCTTTGACAGATTGACTATAATTAGGTTACAGCTTGTATATTTGTATATATAAATAGTCATTACCTTCTTTTAAATTGTTAGTGCTATGTTCTTGTGCCTTCATACACCATTGGTACTAAATTGAAACAGTAATATTGATATGAACGAAATATTGAAATTAGATTGACTAACAAATTAGCGAGTTGAAAATTTTCTACATATTGAAAAATTTTTCTCGCTCAGTAATTACTTTTACTGGCTGTAAGAGAATAAATCCCTCAAATGTAACATGGACAGAAGGCTCAGAAACTACACCTATTTCTGTTTCAGGAATACTTCCAATTGGAAATTAATAACAAAATTGATGTCACACAGTCTGACTGTAGTACAACTACAGTTTTCTCCAAATTCTCAACATTTACTCTCAGTTTCACGAGACAGGCGATGGTCAATTTTCAGCAAGAATGAAGACTGTGAATTCACACTTGCAGCTACAACAGATAAAAAAACTGCTATACATTCCAGGATAATCTGGACATGTTCGTGGTCACATGATTCTAAATATTTTGCTACAGGTGAGGCAGTTTTGGTAATACATATTTTAAATATATATTATGGTGGGATGACGACCTATGTTGGTCAAGGACTCTACCCTTAGATCGATATGGCGACGTAATGTCACTATGACCAACACGAGGCGTATGGAGCGAGAGGGGACCGTGGTAGCTGATTCCTCAACTTGACAACTTTGATGATGTCAACATGTATTATATTTGATGATGTTATCATAGATTATAATAAGACGGTTGGTAATGAGACCTGGGGAAGGACAACTCCTAGGCAATAAACCTAGTATTTAATTATTCTGGTATTTCCCTAATTGTATTTCCCTCACCCCTCACCAACCCCCAATCCAAAGTTGTAACAATATTTTTGTTATTTTCTGAAACTTGATACTTTCAGGTGCAAGGGATGGCAAAGTAATCATATGGACAATAAACAGAGGAAAAGAAAAAACTTCAGTTCTGGGAGAGTGGGAGAATTCAGGCAAACCACTGGAATTCAAAAATGAATCTGTAACAGCTGTATCTTTTGCACCAACTCTAGTTTCTGAGAAGTATTTGATTGCCATTGGTTTTGAAACTGGCATCATTCATTTATTTGGTTGGTGTCAACAGGAATGGAATAAAATCTTGATATTGTCAGACAGGTATGCATTGCATAATTGATTAGATATTTCATGTTTATAACCATGAAGCTCTTTGTGAGATCTTTCAATACAAAGAGTGTTTCCTAACTACTGTCATTAATTTCAGGGGTAGTAGTACAATAAGAAAAATAGTTCCTATGAAAATTTGTTCAAAACTTGTCAGTTTCAGAGATACAGGCTGCTGAATACTGGCGTGAAAAAAAAGACATTTTTCTAGATATTTTGAAAATTTTATTTTCATTCATCTTGGTCGAAGGTTATGCTGTTTAATTTCATAGAAATATGAACTCAGTGGTGTATAAGGAATCATAAAATTGATGTTGACAATTAAATGAACAGAATCTTTCAGTTTCAAATTTTGATCAAAACTGTATTTTGCTGTTCATCAGGGGTTTTAACAGTCCACAATATAAAACAATTGAACCAAATCAATAGATAATCTACTGAAGCTTAAAAAAGGTAAACGGAACATTTCACTCCGAAAAGTTACTGCTTAATTTAAACTAAACCAATTAGTCAGGAACTGTTTCCATCTGTTTCCAAAGCAAGCTAATTAGCATGCTTGTAGGTACGTGTGGCAGGAAAAGACAGCTAAACCATCTAATGCCGCGTAGAAAGTTGAAGTAAAACCATCAGGCACCTGTGCAACGTTTTCCGTTTGGAAGTAACTTTCCGTTCAGGGTGTTTATTAAACATGCGGCAAAAAATTAAGGGACTATTTCTTGGACTATTCTAAGTATATTTTGTCCTTTGATGATTTTTGATAGGGCGCTTTGTTTCGAAGATACGGAGCGAAAAATAATTTCGACAATAACAATTTTGGTAATTTTTAAATTATTAACGTTGCCAATATAAAAGTATAGCGTACTACACTGGACCTACCATGTAATGAAAAATCTAACAATTCCGTTGGTACCTATCAACAACATTCCGATTACTACAAACAGCTGCAGACATTCAATTTGAATAGTATGTCTCGTAAGTGATCATTTGTATGCATCGAATAGGTTGAAACTGATTGACTTTCTCTATTTAACGTGCATTTTCTGTGTTTAATATTTAAAGTCTTGTTAGCGAAGTCCTCTATCATGAATGGCTATCGGCCATCGCAGAGATGGCTGACATGCATTTCATTTATGAACTCGCTGATAGCAATTTATTAGAAGCTAGGCAGTTGTACAGTGAACGATTTCCTAATCATAATGTGCCTAATAGAAAAACCTCACTTATAGCCTTCTCGATCATTGGACTCAAACCCCCTGTATTATTTCCTATGGGGCCACCTAAAGTCATTAATTTATACTACTCCAGTGGAAGATGTGGAAGATTTGAGGACTCGAATAATTGCTGGGTGGAACGCAATTAGAAACGATCCTGGTGTTTTTGAAAGAGTTCGGGAGTCGGTGAGGAGAAGATTGGATTCTTGCATCCGAGCGAGGGGTAGTCATTTTTAACAGTTCTTGTAGATTAAGAAACATTACATGGAATTTGTATTACACTTTGTACAGAACAGACGTGTGTTTCGGTATTCCATAGAAAACCTTAAATAGTGCTGGAATATATAATATTTCTCATTCATTATCTTATGCAGACAATATGAAGTTAGCACGGAATAAAAATGTAGCTTTGGACAGTGAAAAGTTATTTGTATAAAACACATTTGTTAAAATACGGTGTGTACGCATTCGTTGAAACACTGTTCAACGTTGAAATACTCTCTAGCAAGAACGAATTGAAGAACGCAATAGAAGCAAGCGAAGTAAGAGTGAGACTCAAGAGTTCTATAATTAGAAAGAGAAAACATAGAACTTAGGAAAAAAGTAGAAATTCTGGATCAACACTCCAGAAAAAAACAATTTTTTGATATTTGGATTGAAGCAAAAATCCAACGAAATAACTCCTGAAAACATATGTAATACCATCAACGACCTACTGGAAGTGAACCTTAATCATCAAGACTTTAACGATATCTACCCTTTAGATCGCTCCGCTGAGAGACCAATTAAAGTTGTACCAGTATCTCGTTTGAAGAAACAAGAAATTTTTAGAAATTGCAGCAAACTTAGTGGGACGAAAATATACTTTGTCCATGATCAAATGGAGGCACAAAGAGAAGAAAGTAAAATTCTGAGGAAATATTTGAAGAAAGCAAGGGAAACTGCCACCAACAGAGCATCTATTAAAAAAAAAACTTGTCGTAAACGGTACTGCGTATACAATAGAAGAACTGGAACAAACAGAAGAAGAAGATACCAAGAGACCAAACAGTGCACCACACACGCCCAATCCTGAACCAAACTATACATCGGAACTAGCGTTTGAAAATCCATAACCATAAAAAATACACGTTAATATTGAAAAGACTATTTTGCAAGATACTCCAAAAATACGAAGAAACTCGAAAACGGATAATCCAGCAGATAAACCAAAAACCAGACAGAGAAGTAATACTAACGATAGTAAAGCTGGAGGTAGATAAATACTCGACACTTCTTTTGAATCTTCCAACATATAATTTAAGTATTGTATCACTATCTAATATGTTCTATATTTTCGCTCGAAAACTCAAATAAATAACCCGAACCCTAAATTAATAAGCTATCTCCCGTACTAATAAACAATTATTTCGACATTAGAATATTTCAAATAGATCTTCATTGTTTACGATTTCTTTGGTGATTAGTGTAAAGAAAACTTTCATTGTTTTTAGGGTATTATAAGAACGTTAGATTCATACCAGTATGGATCCTTATATTAGGGAATATACAAATGAACCGATTTTTGCTAAAATTATAGAAAATGATGCAGAACTCATCTCAATTAAACCGAAAGGATTGAAATGTTTACATTTGAATATATATGTAGTATATTAAAAAATATAGATGAATTGTTGATATTTTTGAATCAATTCAATGAAAAATTTGATATAATTATTCTAACAGAAACCTTTAAGATACACGACCTCGACAAAATTAGTATGATGATGGCGTAATAATGTATATCAAGAAAAGTATTAAATATAAGTGTGAAGTACAAAACATTGAAAATATCAGAGTCTTAGAAATGAATTTAATAATGAAACAACACAAAATAAAAATCGATGCCATTTATAGATCCCCGAGTATATGTGCGAAACAATTCAAAAGTGACTTGCAAATTAATTCTTATATCTTCAAAACGAGTATAACCGATCACTACACAATTGCCATAACACTTGATTTGGATAAGACAGAGATTGATAAAGGAACGGAAACAAAAAAATTCACTAATTACGGAAAACTTAAACAAAATCTATTATCAGAAAACTGGGTAAAAATGTATACAACAGAACAGGCCAATAATGCTGCAACAATATTTGTGAATAGATTACGATATCTTATTGAAAAGAATACAATTATAACTAAACCTTAGAAAAAACAAAGTAAAAAAATCCTGGATTACTGGGGAGTTAACAGAGCTCANAATGGATACTGAAGATTATATTTAATAGAAAAAAAACTCATCCAACTGCTGCCTTATTTAAAGAAGCGAGTGTATGTGATATTCGACAACTTTTTTGTATGAGCATACTCAGTAATGTAAAAAAAGTAAACATCAAAATAGAACCAATCATCCACTCCTACAATACTAGGAATAAAGAAAACTCTTTAAATGCACCACGATATGACAAAATCATAGGACAAAGAAATGCAACATATCTCGGACCACGCTTATACCAAATATTACCAGAAAAAATAAAAATATCAACAGTTCTCACATGTTTAAGAGAGAAGTAGAGAAATTCATTCTGAATGGCTTTTTTTTCTGATTTTATTAATCAAACTTTTTCGCACAGCAATTTAACTTAAGCATTTGTTGAGCAGACGAAAATAACTATGTATTCTGTCTGAAACTACTATTTCTGTTAATAAGGTTATTGAATTATTGATCATTCACTATTTTTCAATGTTAGATTAAGTATTTATACAGTTAATTACAATGTATCCTTAACACGAACAAGCTATATATTTCTACGGCTTCTGTGATTATCTTGTTTATTTTCGATAGCAGTCTATGTAATGTATATCAGTGTATGCGATGATAAACATATTATTATTATTAATTTTTGGTAATAAATTGTATTTGTCTAAATTATTTTCGCTTCGTATCTTCAAAAATCATCAAAGGACAAAGAATAAATAGTCCCTTAAATTTTTGTCACATGTTTAATAAACATCCTGCATATGAAAAGGCTGAAATTAGTTGCATTTGGTTGAGATGGGTAAGCTAAAAGAACGATTCGTTCAGCCAGTCTCAAATCACCTACACTTTGGTTAATGGAATGCCACCCATCAGAAAACAATTACTTCCCTGGCTAATACCTCGAAGGGCGTTGGATTATATCCGACAGGTGTCACTGCAGGATTCTTCACTGTATGTGCTGTTGGCGATACAACTGCCGCAATAGATTTTAGATTATTGGAACACACTTGCAGACCGGTTTCAGGCTGTTTGGACACTGGTCAGTGCAAGGTAGTGTCTATCCTCAACATAAAGTCGATGATTTCCGATAATTGAAACTCGAATTCATTATTCTGTATTCCTACCTGAAGTATGTGCTTGTGGAATTGCTTCGGAACTTTGTCTCCAGGCAGAGCTTATGACTAGTACTCCCGAGTCCTGTCTGTCGGTAGTCATCCCGTTCAAATGCACTTGATCTCAGCCTTTCATATATAGAAAGTTTGTGGCAACAAATTTTCAAAACGGAAGACGTTGCACAAGTGCCTGATGGTTTTACTCCAGCTTTCCAGGTGGCATATATTTCACTTGTTTTTTTGTAAATTTGCAGATATAAGAATTGATCAATATAACTCGAAAATATCCACCCTTTGAAAACCTTGTTATTGTATAATGTGTCATGAATTCATGATAGCAGTTTTCTGATATCAACTTTTTTTTTCAGTATGGCTCATCACCTAACAGTGAAAAAATTGGTGTTTCGTCCAGTTTTGGGAAGAACAGGATACAAAAATTGTGATGACAATGTGTTACAACTAGCAAGTTGCAGTTCCGATACTTGTGTTAAAATTTTCAATATTTATATTGACAAAGTATAAAAATGTGTTGTTTTATTTAATATTTCATCACATGATTTTACATGTATCATAAAAATTTATATCAAATGACAAAACCACTGCTAATTATGAAGATGGCTTTATGCCATATCAAGTTTTATCCTCATTTTTACTTCCACTTTCACTATGAAAGATGAACTATTGAACTATTGGTTTTCAGTAGAAGGTTTTATATATCACAGGCATAGAATATTTAGGTGTTCTGTGACAAATACTTCAGTTTTCATTTTGGGAAGTCAATTAATTCTAGTAGAATTGTAAATTGTTTTTGCACAAGGGCACAATCTTTATCTGTAGAGAGGGAGGGTGAGTGGTAGACCCACAGCACTTAGGCCACATGTGACCCATTGTACATCCTCCCGAGGAGTTGTCCTCCTAGGTCATCGTCCATCATGTCCTCTCCAGGAAGGTGGACAGGTCACTAGGAGACATCTTTATATTGGCAGGCAGGTATAGGCCAAGACTCGCCGAACACACACTCTTGAGGTGTCTCACGGTGTCCTCCGCGAAGGTTTTGGAGGGTGCAGCCACATTACTGTCATTGCGCGGCTTCTTCAACCTTCTTGGAGTTCCCTCCGTGGAGGTGCACAAATGAGGAAGCTTTCCTGCAGGGGCAGCTGGTTCCTTGCCTTTGTTCAAGGCGGAGCTCTTAGCGCCCGCCACAGAAAATGCCCTGGGTGTTGGAGGTGGAGTGGGGGAGGACGAGGGTGCACTTATAGTTACTGCCACTCCTGCCTCCTTCGCTCTCTTTCTCCTTTTGGCCTCGGCGCCGCAAATACGCTTATCCCTTGGCCTTTGTATCACATCACGAGGTGACTGCTATGTCCAGCCTCATTCTAAGCGGTGGATTGGGGAGGACATTTCTGTTCAAACCCAGCCACCGCCTTAGATTGAGGCGAGCACTTCTGTTCAGCCTCGGGATTGGTTTTTGTTGTTTCTGTTTCATTCATGTGTGTTCCCACGAGTAGCAAGGGAAGAGTTGGTCACCTATGGCAGATCCCCGCATTACCAGAGGTAGTCTGATTACAATGAGGTTTCCCCTGTTCCTCAAGGGGATCGTTCGTAACCGTATATCACCCTGCGGTCATCAGCTGTCGGCACGTTTCCTTACACCTTAGCTTGAGTAGGCTGGTCCACGGTGGCATGTTTTGCAAAGGCTTTTGGGGAGTTTTGGTTCCCGTCACCCTTCTATTTCTACCACTGACCAGAAGTCCGGCGACCCCGTCCGTAAGGCCACATTGGCTTCCCAGACAGGGCCTCCAATCCCCTGGCCGTTCCCCTATCCGCCACCTGGGGACGCGCCCGATAGGTAGCTCAACCCACGGAACAAGGGCACAATGTTGATTATGTAAAAATTTCATATGCATTATGTATGATATGTTAATGATAAATATTTGTATTTTGTTAGGTTTTTTAGAAAGCTTTGTAAGTTTTGCTTTTTTCAGCTTATTACTGTATGATGTTAGTAATATTCCGTCAATTGTTCGCTACAAATTCAAATTGAACCAAAGCACTGCATAAACAACCTGAAAAATTAACCAGGCATATGAAAGTGTTGATGAAAGTACTGTTCGAGTTTGGTTTGACAAATTTTGTTCCAGAGATTTTAGCCTCGAAGATGAGCCCAAAAGTGGGTGACCTACAGTAATCCAGGACGAGAATTTGAAGACCCTGGTGGAGACTGACCCATCACAAATAATGGCGGAAGAACTGGGCGTCACCTCTCATTCAGTTTTTGATGGCTTAAAACGTATTGGATAGGATAAAAAGCTAGAAAAGTGGGTGCCCAAGATTCGTACGATAGACAGAAATTGTTACGTTTTGAGGTTTGTTCTTCATTGCTTTCGCACAACCACCAATCCACCCAGGCACTTCCCAAAGGCCAAAACTCACCAAAAATAGACCATGGTTACTGGTTGGGGTTATGGTATAACTTTCTGCAACCAGGCTAAACCATCACAGCAGACCCCTATTGTGAGGAAATCGACGAATTGTACCGAAAATTCCGTCAGCAGCAGATGTGTAGACCATGCGAAGAAATAGCTTTCAGATACAAACTGGAAAAGAAACCTTTTCCAAACAAGTACTTTGATATAAACATTGAATTACACATATAAACATTGTATAATTCAATGTTCATAGTGAAATTGTTGTTTCAAAAGGGCTTTTTTTCCAGTTTGTGTCTGAAAGTTACTTCTTTCCACGAGCTATACATCTTTGTATAGAATTTATTTTAAAATTGATTGCTTTCTTCCTTTCTTTGGAAAATTCCTACATTTTTTTTGTATATGGATGGAACAATGCCACAAGCCTTCTTTCCCAAAAATAAACCCCTTTGTATGAGTGTTTTTGTAAAATTTAATGTTCATGTAAAATCAATTGTTTCCAAAGTATTTTCTCTTTCGTGTAATTCAATGTTAATATGGAAGTAGTTGAGAGGGCTTTTCCTTCCAGTTAGTATCTGAAAGTTTCTTTTCTGTTTGAACTACATATTGTATAAAGTAGGGAAGAGAAAGCCAAAACCTTTTTTTTTCTATAAAACTGAATTTGGTATGTTACAAATACCTATAATAGCTGTATTACTTTTCCATCTTCATACAAAATTATGTAGGAAGTTTTCCAAAACTTTTTATAATATTCCAGTGTAACATACTCAAATTCTATATATTAATAATGATATTCTACCACTCAAGCAAGATTATTTTTACACATAAATAGTAATACTTTCGGTATCATAACTTGAAACTAGCACCTGGTTTAGGTTTCAACATTATATAACAGAAGTACATGTTAGGTAAATCAATAAAAAAACACGATGGAGTGAAATTAATCGTAAAATTCAATTAGGTTCAATTTAATTTAATTCAATTTAGTCAGATACATTGTTTACTGAAGAAGATGACTTTCGTTTTAATTTTGAACGCAGAAAAAGATAGCAATTTGGATTCGTCAAGTTAAGAGATGTACTCAGTTACAGCTCTATAAGAGGAACAACGTTCGAAAAAGAATAAGAGAATGACACGGGAGGGTAAGTGACGTGGAATATTTTCATAGAGAGGTAATTTGGACATTGGTTTCTTAATAATTTATGAATGAAGCATACAAGGTGATATTTCCAAGATTGTTCAACCGGACACAGGCATTCTGAACTTTTTGGATTCTGGTAGAAGTTTCTAGATCAAGGTATGGGCGGGCACATAGACAATATCACCGTAGTTGAAAATTGATAAAATGAGTGTATTACGTGGTTGAATCTTCAGATGTTTAGTCAGGTAATGTCTATGAGAGTACAGATGCTTCAGTAGACCATATGCTCTCGGAATCAGAGAGTTAATGTGGCTAATGGTCAAATCGTAATCTATTGTCAAGCCCAATCATTTTATTATTTCGCTATATTCCAATTTGTAATTATTGAAAAACATTGACAAATTATCTATGGCTCTACTCTGGTCCCTCTACCAAAAATTATGGCTGATGATTTATTTGGGTTGACGTTTAAACAGTGATTTCTTTATATCTTCAATAGATCATCCACATCATTATTCAAATAATGTCTAACGTCATCAGCATAGGTATGCATTTGAAAATTCTTCAGTATATCAGAAAAACCAGAGGTCTAAATAATAAATGGGAGAGATGCAAGTAGAGAGCCCTAGGTGCACTATCTATTTCGTTTAGTTATGATGATGTGTTATTATTGATAATAACACGCTGTGTTCGATTATCGAGAAGATATTTGAAAAATATCATTTTATTTCAAAATAATGATCTATCTTTTGTATGAGATATCCTGTAAGTATTAGGAAAAGAGGTTAGCATAAAATGCTGCTCCTCATCATGATACTTCTTGTAAGGATAACATAATGAATTACCTACTTTTGAAATATTTCATGCTCTTATGAGATTATTATTTGGATAACAATGTATACACAGGCTTTCATTGTTCAAAAGTTTCAACAGATTTGAAAGAAAAGAATAAAGAAATACATGAAAAACCTATTGGGTTTTGGAAGATCCCAGTTTGTCAAACAATCAATTTTGTTATATAATTTTCACTTCAACTTTAGAAATCGACCTAAATATTTTGCAGTTCTTACATATTTCTCCATTATTCATTTCTCAACTTTTAAGTTTCGAATCTTTTGATACTTTCAAACAAAGTAAGTTTGAATTTCCAACATTCAAGCCATTGTATAGAGCAAAGATTCCCAATCATTATAAGTTTGTGGCTCCAGATTTTATTTCTGAATTTTTGACTTTCTTGAAAAATTGGAAAACTTTCGGATACAGATAGGAAATAAAACAATTAAAATCACGAACGTTGCTAAATTCTTGAAATTTTGTCAGCACACACGATTGATGGCGCAAAAATTCGAGAATTGGAATTTCCCTGGGAAGCCGCGGCGCACACTTTGGGAGTCATAGGTATAGTGAGACATTTGAATACATTTATTCAACAATATACTGTTGTTTATGAAACTCAGCAGACAAGCAGACTCTTATATAAGTTGATTGACATTGATTCTTAGTAATCAATTTTTAAGAAACAGTTTCAGCCTCATAGACTGAGTTACGCTTCACTGATTCACAGACTATTCAACTTTCATTCATGTTTCGACTTCGTTTTGATTGTGTGAAAAACTTTCAAGAAATCATTATTTAAAATATTCCGCGAAGCGAAAGAGTATTGATGAAAGAATAAAACTTGACCAAACGGAGTTAACAGAAGTGGGAAAATAAGACTGTAAAAGTGAAATACGTTAATGGGTACAACTTTTTAGTATCATTTCCGTACGCCACTGCAAGAAACAGATTAAGGCAAAAACGTCAGTCATTTATGAGAATTTAGTGCCTACTATTTTGGAATTATAGTCTCAGTTAACTGTGGACGGTATTATGACAAGCGAATAATAACGGGTAAGTTCAACAATGGCTGATGTCAGACATCACCGAATTTACTTATTTGCTAAGTTAACTGTGGACGGCATAATGACAAGTGAAT